TGCTGGGTGCCGCAGAGCGCGCGCTCGGGTGTTCCCACCCTGCACCCTGCTCTGGTTACGGAGGGAGCGCCAGGCCGTGGCTCTGCTGGAGCTCGTGCTGCTTCTCAGGAACGCTGGGCCGATGCCAGCCTGACCTGTGCCTTGGTGCTTCTGCGCACCCGCAGAGCGGATCCGGGGTGCACGTGGCGCAGACAGCCCTCGGGAAAAGGGACAAAAACGCTCAGCTTCCTCGTTTTCTGTCTCGTGGCTCTTTCACATTCTCACAGTCCTGACAAACTGGTGAAGCTGGGGTTGGTTGGTTTGCTCTTCTGTGCCTCTCCTCTCCTGGGGGGTAGTGAATTCAGTATCAATAGAAGTGAGATCTGATAAAACTCTGTAGCTTATCCTTTGCTAAAAAGACATGCTTGACACCAAGGACGCCAATCCATGTCCTGTTACAGGTGGCTCTTGGGAGGCTCTTCTTTTTTTTTTCCTCCCCTCCCCCTATCTAACCATTTTGGAAATGCAGAATGCAAAGCCTGCTTTGTCTGCCAGCTTTTCATGGTTTTGCTGAAGTTCGTGTACGATAATCGGGACTTGTTCAGAATTAGTGGCTGGGCCTGAGCTACAACAATATGGTTTGTTTGCAAACCACGAGGAGGACACGCTGTGTGTAAAGTTTTGTGTTCTGCGTTGTATTCCTGGTGCCTAACAAAGGTGACAGAGGTTCACCTTCCTAGTTCTGATTTTTGGTCTGTGTCCTGTGGGTTTCTGTCGTCTTGTTCTGTTGGTCCTTGATGTAATTAACCTGCAGAAACCCGTGACTTCATAACAAGGCTACCCAACAGGGGCACTTCTGGGGGCAGCATGGCTTGGAAATCACTTGGAACTCGATTTTTCTCCTTGGGTTTGGTTTTTAGGACAGCACTGATACCAGGTTGCTATCGGGAACTTGATCACAACTGTAATGGCGGTACGTCAGGGCTGCTCTCCCCGTGCTTGGCACTGGTTTGCAGGGTTAGGCGTGAGGCAGAGGGCTGAGGAAGAGCATGTGGCTGTTGGCTGGCCGGCAGCGAGGCCCCAGGGCCAGGGGGGTTCTGCTCAGCAGCACGGGCGCACGCTGCCGGTTCCGTTTCCCCGTAGGTCCTGTGGCAGCTCGTTGTGATCCCTGAGCCCGGGTGAGAGAAGATGGGGGGGTTTGTGAGCAAGAGCTGCCTCTGCCTGAGGACAGGTCCCTGCTGACCTTCCCCTTCCCGCGGGGATGTTCTGCCCTGTCCTTACGTCTGAACGAGCTGTCACTGAACCAGTGTTTCCCTTCAGCTCCATTGCGACCTGCGCCCCGCCAGCCCCGCCGCCGGCTTTCCGTCCCTGCAGCTGCCGCCGCCTCGAGCCCATAGGAGAGACTCGCCGGAGCCTGCTCGGAGACGCGTCCGGCATCAAGGTGTGGCCCAACCCAGCCTTACCCACGCGCTTTTCCTTTGGGCTGCAGGAGCACGGTGTGTGTTCCAAGCTGCGCAGATGTGGGTACCCTGTTCTGTCTCCAAAATCTAAATAATCTCGGATCCTTTACCCTCGGTCTAGTTTTACGCACGACAGAGTAAATCACTGAAACTCGGTGTCCTCAAAGACCTTGGTCATGAAGGCGGACGCTGCTGGAAGGGAAACGAAGTCTAGCTTTGTTACCTGAACAGGCTCTAACATCTTGTGCTGCACTTGCTGTTCCTACTAAGTGCTGTGTTGTCCTCTCAGGAGACGTTTCTCCTCGGTGCACAGAAGGCTTGGGGCAGCAGAGGCTCAGCTGTCCTTCACAAGGGCCCAAGCCGCTGAGCAACAAGGCAAACGCCAGGAACGCCCCGTTGGCCTCTTCAGCGCGAGTGAGCGATGCTCCCGGTGCGAGGGGGAAGCCCAGGAAGGTGGCTGGCAGCGAGGGGAGACCGAAGAACAGAGGGGCAGGCGGACCCGCAGGTGGGACGACGCCACGTGCGAGACCTACCCAGAACTTCCCTTCAGAAGCTTTCACACCCAGCTCCTCCAGAACTTCTCCAGCCCAACCAAGGTAACGCCTTTGTCTCCCGTTTTGAGCAGCCACCCCGAGTCTGCCCTAACGCGTGAGGGGTCGGGGGCACTGGAGGAGCAAGTTTTGCTCCGCTGGGGACGCAGCCTTAGGGCTGGCGTGGTCTGATCTTCGGGTGAGAGCAACCCGACAGCAGCGACAAATCCATTCCAGGCCTCTGCCTCACTTCCTTACCGGGCAAATCTGGATTCCCTTGGACTTGCCTGTGGCCAAAAGGGTTTCGCTCCACTTAATGTGGCTGGTGGGGAGTTTTAAACAGCAAACTGGGGCTTTTGTGTCAAAAGAGGACAGACACTGGGAGAATTTGTAGGCTAAAACCTTATGAGCTGTGCCTTGTAGCGCTCTCGGCTGTGCTCTTTGCTCTTTGAAGAGGGTCTGGGTCTTCTGCTACAAAAATGATTGGGTCACGGGTCTCAGCAGAAGCACGAAGGTTTCTTCCTCAACCTTCCAAAGCCTCCCTGGTGTGAAGGCCCTGTGTTTATTCAGCAGTAGGAGCACTGAAATGGTGAAATTGCTTCCTCTGAACGTGTCCCTGTTCTCCAGCACCAGCAACGGAGGAGGAAGGAGCCTCGGGATCTCGGACGTTCCCGGTGCCTCCAGGCGCAGGAGCACCAAGGTGGGCGGCCAGCAGGAGAGCGGGGGCTTCGCTGCATGAGGGGCTGGGCCTGGGCAGGGCGCGGGTTTTACGGCACCGGGGGCTGCAGCGCCCGTGACCGGCTGCAACGCTTGGCTCGTCCTGGGGGAGAGCGGGCGGGAAGGGAGGACGGTGCCTGGCTGTTCCCCCTTGGGCTGGTTTCACCAGGATAGGGAGATGAATTCTCAACCCTTCCTGCTTCAAGGAGGTTTTTATCAAGTACTCTTTGAAAACAGTGGTTTTAATTTTGTTTTTTGCCCCCTCTAACCTGGAGGCAAAAGCGCAGAGCCTGGCAGCCGGACACCCAGAGCAGCAGTGACCCAGCACCTACAAAACCCCGTGTTCGCCTTCTGTGCCCCGAGTGTGAGTACCGGTGCTGTGCAGGCGGGCACTGACTGAACACCTGCCTTCCTGGCCCCCTGTCGCCAGAGCCTTTCTGTGAATTCGGAGTTTTGTAGCCCGTGATCACTTTACATACATGTGTATTTTTAATTTGGGCGAGCACACGCCAGCTTTTTACTTCTCTGAGCGCTACCAGCACCAGCCCAAACCAGCACCTACGCTTCTGCCTTGGGAAGTGCCTGGGTTACGGATCCGCACGGCCCCTTGGGGCACCCAGCGAAGGAGAAGTCTTTGACACACTGAGCTTCAAGCACTTGTCCTGCCGCTCGCGTGCTCGTTTGTTCTCAAGACAGCACCAAGAGCTGACAACCAAAAGCACGGGGTCAGCCGGGACGACGCTGGGGACACGGCGGGCCGAGGAGGTGACCCGAGTCCTCTGAGGAGCAC